GGGTGGTGGAGGTGGGGTGGGGTAATTATATTAAATTAGAATTAAATATTGAATAATAAATTGATTTAGTAATTCATTAATTATTAATTAAAAATTAAAAAAACCTGATTTGTGAATTTTCAAACTTGTTTTTATATTTTTGAAAAGGTGTAAAGTAAATACCTTATAAATGTATTGTTCCCAAAAGAAAATCATAAATCAGGTAGTATTTCAAATTTATTTTTTGGATGCAAAAATCAGGTATTTATTTTTTAATTAAATAATAAAATCATAATTATATAATTATAGGTCACAAATAAAAGTCTCATATTAAAAAAATCATTAGTCATATTTTATTTATCGATCACACATTTTCAAATTTGTTGGTCACGAATTATTTTTTAGTCATAAATTATCGAATTTTAAGGTCACGTTTTGATAGTTAGTCACAATGAATCAAATTGTTAGTCACATACACCAAAACACTCGACCCTTGATCCCGATCCACCACCAATTCTTAGTCACATACTCTATCCCACCGTCGCCACAGCAAAACAGACCGTACCGTCGACACCTCCACCTGCAAAATCAACTATACCCAACCCACAACCTCACCAATATAACCAAAGTCCCCATCGCCTACACGACCACCGCCAGAAACCACCAGACCACAGCCATAGCCAAAAACCCCCCACCAAACACACCCAACAATGCACCACCCCCACAACCTCACCAAAACTGCAGTCGATCCGCCATAGCCACCAACACCATCTACCTACACAACCAACAAAAAATACCTAAAAACTCCCCAACACCACCACAACTCCACTTCGCCATTGCACACACACCCACAGCACACGCTTACCAGATCGCGATAGAAAGGAGAAGATAGGGGAATGGCGGAGGAGATAGCAGGTCTTCGACGACGTGGTCTGTGAGGGAGAGGGGAATGGAGGAGCGGTGCAGTTCCCAACGTCTGTGAGGGAGATCTGCGCGACGCCACTGCTCCACCCCGACGGCGGTAAGGGAAAGGGTAGAGAGAGAGAGACGAGAATTGAAGAAAAGGAGAGTAGAAGAAAAATGATTTAGGTTTTGTTTGGGATTAGGGTTATTAATTAGTTTTAATATATTATCTGATTTTTGAATAAATAAACTTTAAACACCTGATTTTTTATGATTTCTCTTTGATAATGGTCTTCTTGAGCCACTTCAAATGTTAGAATTCTCCCCTGCACAGTAGGTCAAAGACGTGCTATTTTTTGTCCATTTTCGATAGTTCAAGTCTTTACTGGACGAAAGGCGTAAAAGATGCTAATCACAATTACAAAAAAAAAAAAAATCATCGTTTTACTATATATGATGTAAGCAAAGGATTTTACGAGGCTAATGCAATTTAAGGTACGAAATAGTACGTTTTCCTTTAATCGAAGATAGGAATCAGTTGAAGCAGGCTGGAATAAACAAACAAGCAATAGAGAAGAACGAAGCTGCAGTGCCAGGGAGGGTGACGACAAGACACACACATTGGGGGGGAGAGCTTTTTTTTCATTTTTTATTTCACAGGGGTCTCACGTCGGTCCCACACTTATGCGAGAGT